TAAAATGTAAATTTTCAGTTCCCTCAAAAGCAAATACTGCTAACACTGTAACTAGTTTATTTTCTACAAGCAGGACACTTCTATTTAGCTTTTGAATACTGCAGGTATACTTCATGAGGAAGTTGGACTATTTTATTTAATTTTCCTGAGAAGAGACAGACACTGTAAGGAAACAATACTGAGATTATTTCACCAAAATCTATTTAAGGCCATCATATTTTTAAAGATCTATCTTAATTGAAGTTTTAGAAGAACCATTACATTAAAAATAAAATGATTTTAAGAATCAGGGGCCATAAATTCACAATGTGAAGAAGAGCAGAAAGCAATAACAGCATTTTGGTAGAGGCATGAACTTTCTACCACTCTAATGCACAGTGGGAGGAAGCTGGAAGGGGAGCTCAAGAACCATATGCCTAGATGTAGTGTGTCTTCCTTGGGCACCCCAGAAAGAACAAGACATTCCCTTTGTACATTTTTTCTTCTTGCAAAAAGATGTCTGCATTAAACTTGGGAGGTGGTAGCAAAACACAAACCACCTCAAGATTTCCAGACACTAGGACAATGGCACTGTATCCATGAGAATCCATCCTCTTTCCAGGCCTTCAGAAGCATTAAGGATATCACAGTGCACAACACATGCTGAGTACCAGGGAATCGATTATGCTTTGGCCAGAGTTACAGATGCGTCGCTTCCAAGTGCGGCACTGGGCCAGTAAGAGAAAAGGGTAGAGGCACGTCCAGGTGACAGCTGTAGACAGGCACCACAGAGCAAAGCCGGATGTCATTTCGCTAGGAGTGATACAGGGCATGACACCCTGAGCATTTGGTGCACACAGGAAAAACCCTCAGCAGCACTTAGGTGTCACCCGATGGGAAGTGGTTGTGAGGAAACTGCAAACAGACACAATGGGACACTTCAGCAGTAAGGAAACAGTCACACACTCCATGTATGCAGGTGTCTAAGCGTCTTGGAAATAATCACTTCCAAGTTATTTTGAAGCTCAGAAGCTGGTAGCCGAAGCAGCGCCAGACTGAAGAGTACTGAGAGATTTCCTCTTGGTCCTCCCCCATGCTACGCTACCATGCACACAGCAAAGGCCTTTAACACTCTTCTGAAGGTCCAGGACTGAGCTCTGCCTACCCTTCAGTAAGGGGAAAAGAGATTTCAGAAACTGACCGAGGAAACACTTTTTTGTCCCAGGCCCCAGCTTGCTGTCCTCAGCCTGTTGGAAACATGGACCCAGCACCCTAAGGAGCAGGCTGGGAGCAAAGAGCAAGGTAGGAAGAACAGCATCTACAAGGGCTGGCCTTTGGGAGTAAGGGAGTTTGCAACAGAGCAGGTGACAACACAACTGCCACAAGGGAAAGCACCACCTTGGGCACCTCTCTCCCTCCCTCCTCCTGTTTAGCATATTCCATACTTAAACTTCCACAATTTAATTCTTTTTAAGCCTCAGATGGAGAGCGCCACAGAACAAGCCAATTGCCAGTTACGCAAAAGATAGAGATGTTATTCTGTTAAATAGGTTAGGTAGGTAACAAAATGGTTTCAAATATGATAGTCATTCCTTATCAATTTAATTTTTGCCAGACAAGATAAACCCAGTCCTGACAGATTCATCCTATTATCTACTTAGAGTCACCCTCCTGGTCCTGCTTTATCACTGTAGCATTCAAGGTGAGTTATCTTTGTTATTGCTGGCTGTTTTATATCTCTCTCTCTAAACATCCAGACACGAATTATTGAAAGTGGCAAGTAAGATTTTCTGTAGAATGTTTTAAGGCACATTAAGTTTAATCTGGGATTAGAGCAAAGATGAAAAAGGAAATACAAGAACTAAGCCTGAAACCTAATGAGACATAGACGAGTTTCCAAACTCGGGCTATGCCTGCAGCGAACAGTACACCCCTCACTATTAGTTCACGTGTTTGGGAGAGGGCGCTGGGTGTAATAAAATATAAACAAGCTCTACAGACAGATACCACAATTTCAGATTAAAGAACATGCCCTCCCCAAGACATTCTTTCTATTGTGACAAAACAAGATTTGATTAGATAGGTGATTTATGCCAATGGCAAAAATCCACGCTGCAACTGTTAAAAGTGACATGAGAGAGTGTGTGAGTGTGTGTTGCTGGAGTTCATTCCTCTCCCCACCCTTGACAAGTCTGGACTATACACAACCAGCTAATGCACTTGTCCAGTATTTCAAGTATCAAAACTATTATACTTACTTTTCAGAGCAGCAACATGTGATTATAAACCAAGTTTGATCTTACATATTTTGAAATCAGCCTTGGTAACAAGGCCCTTAATTTGCTAAGGCACAAATGCATAATCTAACTACAGAAACTTCATGTGTATCAATAAATAGGAAACCAAGTCTTGCAAAATGACAAGTACCCAAGATCACTTACATATTTACAAGACAGTGGATGCTATGCTTATGCAGACAACAAATAAAAAAACAGAGCAACCTACACTTCCAGAAAAACAGAAAAACAAACAAAAAAACCATTCTTTTAAAAGCATGCGGTTTCAATTGGAATTGCTATTTCAACTTGCAACTTTCGACTGCTTCAGGGCCAAATTAATCCTATTACTCAGCACAGGAAGTCCTACTGCACGGGCCTGCTATTACGAGCAGCAGAACTTTGTTATTTCAAGCCATTTGATAAGGGGCAGTTTCTTACAAATGCCAATATTCACCAGCCATGAACGAGCAGCATTTATGTAACTTTTGTACCATGAATGTATTTTACCTGTATTCAGACTGACAGTGAAATGGTCATAGCATTTCTGCACATATTTTTCAATTCAAAGACTTGGTGAAGCCATTTGAATGCTGACACGTGCACATTTTTCATATTCAAAGGGGCCTAAAAATAGAATTACTAATGTTGCAGAAGACTAGAAAAGATATTAGGAATGTGCAGGGACTACTTTTAAAAACGTAATACCATTATTAGGTAGCAGGTCAAGTTTAGGTACAGAAGAATCAGTTTTTAAGCAGTATTTTGCACTGTATTTTATCCATTAGCAGATTCTCATACTTGAATTGTGATCACGCAAGCCTCTTAGTAGACGTGTGGATATTTTTTTCTCCCTGCATACATTTATTTGGTTCATAAAGATGTGATATGGGACGATTTTACCTTTTCTAAACCATACATGCTTGTGTACTTGTGGTTGAAGACTTTAGACCAAAGTCGAAATTTTAGCTCCATGCAGAAATACCACCATGACATTTATAAGACAACAAAATATTTTAATTTAAATATGCCCCATACTATACAACTGTATAAAATACCAACTAAGCATCCATTCGAACATTAAGAAAAAAGAAGAAAAAAAAAAAAGGCGCAAGCAATACACTGTTGCAACGCTAACAGCAGGTGGCACAAGCCAAACTGCACAACCAGAAAGACAGGTAAGTTACTTTCTCACAAATCGCTGTACACAAAGATCAGAGGGGGAACATGTTGTAGCCATCCCAAAGCCTCCATGGTTTCTAGTAGTTGCCTGCCTTTATTAGGCAGGTATGTTAAAATGGAAAAAAGAAAGTCACCTCAGCATCTTTAAAAATTCTTTTCTTTCTAATCAAAAATTAGCACTGCTTTCTCAGCACTGCTAGAAAGCAGAACAGCAGTAACCCAAGTTGCTAATGCAAAATTAATACTTTGATAGGTAATTGTGAAATAGATAGAAAAAGGACAGAGTAGAAATTATCCCAACAATCTTTAATTGCAACTAGTAAAACACTAAGTCAAGTAGTAATTTGAAAAACATGAAAGAAAGCCTCGGAACAGCTTAAAGGCAGTTCTGTTAAACCTCAGAGATTTCTCTCCTCCCCCTTTCCCCAATGTTTGTTGCTGTTGTTGTGTATGTGAGTGTTAAATAAACAGTACGCATATCCAAAATATGCCTACATCTTGCTAATGCAAAAAAGTTTATGCCCTCCACCTGCATGCACCATGGATCCAGCACCAGTGGACTGAGCCTGCGCCTGCAGGCGTGCTGGGCTGCAGCAGGAGAGCGTGCCACGCGAGCACGGTTGAAGATGCACACCAAGTGCCAGTGTTTGGCATGTCCTGTAAACCAAAGCAGCATCCAGAACAAGGCCATTACTGCAGATATTACTAAGTTAAATAGTATCCCTGTTCTCCTTGGTCACAGGATATTACCTCATATTTTGCTTAGTATATTGACTATCTTTTAATAATGCTGCATTTAACACTACACTACAGTTTGGAATGGCTCCCTTACACATCTTGCTACATTGTTTATCTTTAAAAAGAGGTGTGAACCTGGGCATCCAAGTCAGTGCTTGCTTCAGATGGCACAAAATGATTTTTTTATATTAATTTCAGCTACAAAACTTTTTCTTCCCCAGAATGACTGTGGAAAAACTCAAGCAGGAGAGAAGGAGGCTCTTTATTTCTAAAAACAGGTTGAGAAGCCTCAAACACCCCCTTTCTATAAGTGTAAAGTGGTATTTTCTCAAAGATAAAGTACCATCTTAACAAGCAAAAAAGAATACTTAAGCTTATTTCAAAGTGAAGATCTCAACTTTAGAAATCAGTAAGAAAACACACTTCTAGCATGTTTCTTCCTCTAAACTTGTATATCATGTGCTCTGTCTTTAGACAGTAACATATAAGAAACTCTAAAGCTTTTCCCATGTCTACCATAACCTAGGTATGCATTGTTAGTTGTCAATAAGCATTCTTAAGTTCTAGCTTGTTTTGGAAACAAAGCTAGGAAAGCAGATACTTATGGACACACAAAACCATTAGAAAAAGAGATACCAAGTGCAGCTCATAGAACAGCTCACATGAGGAATGAACGAGGGAAAAGGCACTCCATCTCTCTTCGCTGTTCTATGCACTGTATGCAATTTCTCCAAACACCCTTAAAACATTTGTTTTCAACATTGCAGATCAGATATTGAACAGAGTTCATGTTTCTTTCCATTGCCATTCTTTTCATTGAAAAAGTATGTTGCTATGAATATACAACAATACAGCTTTATTTATACATTTAAGAATACTTTTTTTCTGAAGGAGAAAGTCAGTTACTGAACAAATGTTATTGAAGATATAAATTATTTAAACTTAAATAATTTAAAATCAACTTACTCAAATAACTTTGCTATTGCACATATTTTTCATAACTTTTTCCAGACAAAACCTTACATAAGCATTTAAGAGGTTAAAATTTTAAAAGCACAAGTTACATAGCACCAAAGTAAGGTGCCAGATAAATCGTATGCCTGCTGGAAAAGGAGTGCCAATAAAAACAAATATAAATATATATGTATATACACATTTAGTAATAACTCTGGGATGTTTAGATAATAAATACTTTAAACAAACCCCCAGATTTCCAAAAACATGAAGTGAGAAATTTTAGAAAATAATGCAAAGTTGTTTTAGAAGAGCAAAAATACACATGCACAAAATCTATCATAAGAAATAGTTTTACAGTTCCCATACCTTAACCTTTAAAACCACCTCTGTTGTCACTATGTACTTCACAAAATGGCTAGTCTATATGTTTGAGGATTTACATGAGACAGAACAAAGAAAGCTATCCCCAGCTGCTTTATAATGGAACAGTACCCCGCAAAATAAGCCCATACCAGTTTCAGTTTTGTCACTTCTCAAAATGTCTTTTCCTGCCTATCTTCATTCCCAGCAATCTGGGAATACACTCATAACATCAATCAACAGGCAGCATTAGAAACAAGGAGGAAACTTCCTATTTTTTTTCTGAGCAAACCTTACACTGGAATTTCTCCTACTACAACTGCTGCTGTTACCACCAAATTTGTGACCAGCTATTTCCATAGTAAATGTTTCCCTTGCACACATCTGCTTATAACCCTTCAAAAACCAGAGCAGTTCAGCTTAAATGGGTAGGAGTATAATCTGGTCTTCTTGTCTGAATAATTTTTGGTTTGGGTTTCTTTGCTTCTTCTTCCATGTCATTTTCTTGGTCACTCTCACAGACGTGGACAACAACACTAGGAGTAGTGTCAGTTGCAGCATGTAGTTCATACTTTTCTCCTAAAAGTTAAAAATATTAGCAAAGCAAGTTTAAAAGGATCCATTTTATAGAAAAAATTAAAGGAAATCACTAAAAGGAAAGAGTATTATATTGTAAGTAATAAATTAAGAACAAAAGCCTGATGCCACAGTGCATTAGAGGACAATGCAGCCAGGTGCGTTGCCAACAGTCACGTCTACCATCTGCAGCCAGTTAGGTTCTGCTTTCAAAGCTACATAGCTCTGCTGCTTTCTTATATGCAAGTGTAAGTTACCCTAAGCACTCAAGGAAGTAGTCTACCTGGGTGGTCTCTAGTGGTGGGATTTTGTTATACTAAACATAGCTGTAGTATTCAAGCACACACTTGGATACAACACCCATTCGCAGTACCATGGAAATTTCATTTTCCTGAATGACGACCTAAAAACCACAGGATAGTTTGTGGGGCTCACAGAAGTCCCACAAAGTTTTCAATATTAAGAAAGGTAAATACACTTTTTTCCCCACCTCACATGAGTGCTCTTAGACTAGTCAGCCATTCTGGGGAGCAACAGGAGGCTTCATGTATATGTAATGCAAACCATTCAGATATAACATGGTCAGCATGTAGAAGTGTTATGAATAAGCTTGCTTGACTGCTGGTTTGACACCTGCCTTCCCTGTAATATAAAAAATTGCTTTTAAATCTTACTACGTTTTATATCATTTTAATCTTTTGCTAGATGAGTCTTCTTATGGTCTTCATAAAAAGTATAAGCCATTGTGCTAATAGCAACTCTGCTTGCTACCAGCTCTACTTATTTCTTGTCCTAACCTAACAGACAAGTCCTTTTTAGGACTTATTGTCCAGAATACAGGTGAAAAAAAAATGGGTAAAGGGATCACAGATCTATCAGTGAGCTTTTCAGAATACCCTGTAATAAGAGAACTTTCAGGAAATAAATGAACAGCTTTTACTGCTTACTAAAATTTTAATGTTGATTCTAAAACACGTGCTTTCATTTTAAGTTTTAGCAAAGCCGAAAAGATTTAAGAGGAAAGCTTGTAGTGAGGTAAGTAGCAGCCACTGGGCAAGCCCTCGATTTTGATAAATAGGGTTACGGCTTGCTGATCCTATTTGTCTCCTGCACTTCAGCAAAAGCTAGTTTTATTTTAACAAGAATATTCTTATTGGACTTCTGTTTCAAAAACTTATTTCAAGAAAACAAAATCTTTGATAAAAGCTTCTGATATGTCACGGTTATTCTTGACAGGTGGTTTCAAATAACATACTCTTGGATAAATAAATGATTCCCAGTATCATTTTACACTTATGTTACATTTTTACTGTAAACTGTTTTTGCTGCTAGTTTAAGCAGTAGAATTCATACACTATTTAAAATATGGCATTTAAGAATTCATAGTAACCTTCCCCCATTTTACCCTATCACAAGCGTAGATTCTTGCCCTGCCACAAACTGCAGGAGGTTTAATGCCTCAGGCTGAAGCTGGTAGCTTCCCCTCCTGCTCATGCTGCTGTCTCAGATGAAGGATGTAATTCTAGTTGCAAAGCTTCACAGATGTTAACTGCTTTATTGTCCTCATTAGAAACAAGACTTTCTCATCCCTGCCAAAATGGGCAGCTACACAATTGCCAGTTCACTTCTAGAAAGCTACCTTAATGTGGTCTTGGCCTGTCCAAATGCATGTTTTACTATGAGGCAAGACACAGTAGAAAAAAAAATCCCATGAAATAGCAAGCCATCTGATACTGTGAAGCTATAGACATGACAACATCATTTCATTTGATTAAAAAAAAAAATCTAGAAACTGAGAATGTTTAGGAGCTATATTACTCAAACAACAGAGATATATTACTAAAGCAAAATTTTAGTCTTTTAGTCCTTCTTACCTGGCCCTAACTTGGAGATAGCATATAAAAGATCATAGTTTATAACCGGAGTAGCATCTTCTACTTGCTTCCAGCCAACAGGTGGAGAAGCAGGAGGTGAAATCAAAAACTGTTTGTCTGGGTTCGGTGGTGCTAAATGTGAGCTTCCAATGTGCAAAGTCTGAAAAAAACACAAAGAACAAAGTATTTTCTTATGATCAGTGAATCCATCATTCATGAGGAACTCTAATGTTTGGATAGATGTTATGCTGTAACAAGCACTCAAGGTGGCAGCATGTAACAATTTTACTAGAGAGCATGTATGAAAGACCCAGTATACAAAATACAGACAAGCCTCCACATTCATAACTCTGATGAAACACGCAATGAAGTGTGCATATCTGCATTTTCTTATTACCGAGTTTTTACAAAGATTTCACCAGATTTCATCTCTCCTCAAAATAGTCAAGTAGGAAGAAGCTGGATATGGGCTTTAAGGCTTAATAACAAATGGCTTTGAAACTTATTACCACAAGTGAAAGTGGTGGCAGTTCTAGATGGTATATAAACAAACTGGCTCCTTCAGGACTGTCCCCTAGGGACCTCTGAAACAGACACACAGATTAATTTTCCCATTAAATTTATGGAAGAAAATGCTCAGCAGCCACCAAAGAGCACCCAGATTAACAGAACCTGAATTTGTTTCAGCAGGCAGCAGCTCTAGAGCTGCATCAATGGCACACTGCAAGTCTGAATGTGTGCTACAGAAATGATCTGCAGTACTCAGTGTAGGACCAATGCGTACAAACTCCTGAACACTTTAGTTTTACACTTGAACCCTCAGATCCCGTTTGAGTCCCCTCCACCCTTGTTTTTTTTTTTTTCTCTCTTGTATTGTTGACAAAACACACTTGCTTTCTCCACCATCGTGTCTTTGACTGTGCTGCTTAACATCATCTTCTCCCTTTCCCCAAGCATCTCTAAGCAATAAAGAGGTTTTGCATAAGTGCAAAATACGTAACACAGCCTCCAAACACTCGTAGCTTTGGAGCAACTTGACATTCATAAGCAGATGGAAAAATTCACAGCCTTCATTAGCATGCCTGAAGACCTGTGGAAGCTTAAAGCTAAGAGTGTTAAGCCTTAGCACCTTGGAAAGAAGTCACATGAAGACCCACCTGAGCAAAATAGAGTTTGATTTCCTTCCCAAGGAACTCTGTCTTGTGCAACTGGATTCTAGCGTCTGCTGCAGTTAAAGGGCTACTGAAGTTTATTCGCACTCTTTTGAAGCTCTTAAAATACTGAAAGGTGATATCTCTGTCATACGCTCTAAACAGCGATTCGAATTTGGCCTGAAAAGTAAAGACCAAACAAGAAAGTGAATATGCTAGGTTCCATATTTTCTTGGAAGAACTAGAGGTAAAGTGCAGTTATTACTAATAGCATACTATCTTTTTTTTATTATTGGTTTATAGATATCAGCTTTGTTTTGTTTTCTTATTTTCTAATATATAATTTGTTTTCCGAAGAGCATCCTTTTCCTTGCTTATTTAAGAAAATAGCTTATTATCAATAAAAAGTGTTGAATGAGATTTCTGATTTAGTGCCACTATAGAAATAACAGTATTGGCAAGATACTGAAGAATACTTGTTTTTATAAATAAAACTAACATCCAAAGATCTTACACAATGGCACAGTGGGCTGATATTTTTAAATGTGCAAATGCCAAGGTAATCAGCATTGAGCTGTTTCAATACAGAAAACAAAAAAAGTATATTTGCATGCTACATGTAGTTTTCCTCATCAAGTCAGAGTGAGCATCCATAATTAAGTTTCTAATCATTGCCTTTTCTAATAATCTGCTGTTTTCACTTAGGAAAGTGAACCCAAAGATACACTATTATTGAACTCTAAACAGCCTCTTTGTTTCTGGATCCAAATTCTCGCCTCACTAACTTTTCTGGAAAGTCCTGAGCACTAATCATACAGATCCTGAGGGGCCTTGGACATACTTTTTTACGTTTTATTCTGTAGTAAGAACTGCGGCAAAACCTCATAACTCATCCATAAGTCTATAAAGGATTTAATTGTCTTAACTGAAAGGATTGCAGAATATTTATCAATAGCTGGAGCCTCATTCAGCATTCAGCACTCCAAAGACATCCACGCAAACTGGACTTTTTTGGTACTGTTTACAAAGATTGCTTCCATTCTTACTAAGATTGCTTCTTAGTCTGGATGCCAGACTAAAGGAGGAGAAAGCAGTCAAAAGTTCTGAACCTGGCATGCTCTTGTAAAGCCTTTCAGGCTACAATAAGAATACAGTAATCAGCCACCAGTAGTCATCAGCCACAAGCCCTATTTCAGCAATGGGGACAGATTATGCACAATTGCATTTTGGGCATTTTCTCTAATAAAAGCCTATTAAAAGTTAAACAGGCAGCACAGTTTTAGGTATTTCTGGCCTTTTTTTTCTTCTTCTTTTTTTTTCTTTTTAATATATATACTTATATTTTGGATTACTAGAAAAAAAAGCAAAGATAAGAATGCAGTGTTTACATCAAAAAATCATTTTCCTTTCTGAAGCTAGGTACATAACCACTACATTTCAAAACTATTTTAAAATCCTTGTTGTCCTGATTCTTAAGCCACTCTTAAGCTTCTTCAAAAAGAGAACCGAGACAAAAACAGAACTGTCAGCACAGAAAGTCCTTGTTTGTTAAGCTTCCTGTACTGGAAAGTGAGCTGAATGCAAGCGTAAAAACTGAGCCTGAATTTCCAAGATCTCAGTCATATGCTAGCTGGGGAAGAGAAAACAAAAAGGTGAACTGTATTTCAAAGTTTGTGCTCTATTTTAAATTCAGAGATCAGCTGTGGGATCCATGCAATACATGTAGTTTTTCAAAGAATACGTGAATTATATAGGTCACGTATCAAGTTAGCAATATAAAACAATTATATGTTATTTTGCCCTTCAAGCGTCTTAGTAGCCAACAATTCACTGCACCAGTACTGGATTACTTACATAAGAACTCTAGTAAGTTAAATATAAATCAGAGAAAAGTTATTAACAATAACAGTGCCAGCTGCCCCCCACCCCCCAAAGCCTGAAAAGTAGCGAACTAAAACTTACGTAGATCTTATCACCAAAATTGTAATCTCAACATCACTGAAAGCATGTATGAAGTGAATGACATGCTCCACAGGCAACAAAGACTATTTGGAGGTGAATTTCTGATCCCTTCCAAGTAGACACAGCTTAAAATCTCACAATTTCCAGAGCACAAAACATTCACAACAGAGCATACCACTGCAGATCCTTCCAAACTGAAAGCTTCCTACCAGTCAAAAAGCTCATAAACTACACTATTTTAAGCAGTTTTAGCACTGCAGCTCCAGTATAGCAATTCACTCGAATGAAACCCAAAAACCAGAGCATACCCTTGTTTCTGCTTGATTGAAGACATCACTGTCAGCCACACAGGCAATCAGAGAACTGAAACTGTAGTTGAAGTTTCTAAAATGCATGCTGTGCTTCTCTACAGGAAGACTTGCAGTCTGGCAAAACGCAGTTACTTTTAAGGAAGCCGCCAGTGCTGCAGATGAGGTTTATAAAGGAAGAAAGCCCAGCCCCTCTGGGCTAGGGAGGAGGAGAAAAAAAAAAAAAGGGAAAAAAAAAAAAAAAAGGAGAGTTTCAGAGCATCCAGTGTGCGAGAGGGGATTGCTGAGGGAGCCGGCACGCTCGGAGGCAGGAACGCGCTGAGAGCTCCGGCTGGCACGGGCTGACGTCAGCACGTTAGTCAGCTTCCCTATGCTAATTGCTGTGCTGCGGAGGATGGAAAAAACAGCTGAGGGCTGCACGGCAGCTGCTTTATCGAGCCCTCGCGCAGCATAGTTTCCACTGGTAGTAATTCCATTCAGCGCGCAGACAACATGCTCTTCACTGGAATGGCACAGCCCATCTTAAGATGGAAAATGTTACTTGCTACAGGACCAAAGTCTCCAGTAATACGCTGCAATTAGCCAGGAGGAAAATTTCAAGGCTTTGGAACGGAAACCAAATCCCTCAGGTCAACAGCTCTCGTTAACTTTTTGGAAAATTACAAGAGCACTGAAGTTTTGGAGATTAGGAAGAATTGATTTTGGAAAAAAAAATACCTTTTCCTTTGCAGGGAAAATTCATTTCCAATTTGTTTGCTTCAATCTGGCTTTATGGACTACTTCCTGCTCTCACATTTTCCGAAGCTCAGCCTGAGCCCTGCAACCTCACTCTGGGGGCAGGTGGAGCTTCTGCAGCAACCTGCTGGAAGGGTTTAAGGGACAACCTGGATTCCTGCAGTGATGAGGGATAAAAATCCACATTTATGACTTCTTTTGATATATGGACTTGTATCATGGTTTCAGAACATTTCCCCTAAAGCAGCACAGGATACGGATTTTATTTTTTGTTTAAAAGATACATTACAGTTTTAAGTAATAATCTCATGCTGAAGCTTTTCAAGCTGTTTGAAACTGTCCTGTGAAGCTTTAGATTCAAATGTGTAACAAAGTCAAAACTGTGCATGCATTTTAGCACATTTTGCTATAAAATGGGGCTGCAACATCACAGAATCACTGACTTTTATGAAATAAGATTTTTAATTTATGACTGTTTGCAAGTATTCCATAAATATGCAACTAAGTATAACTAGTCACATGAGCAGTCTCCTTTATTTCCATGGGCCCTACTTATTCACTTTTACTTCAAGATGTTTACCGTGCCACAGGCACAAAATCACTATTTACTAGTCAAATTCTCAGCTAATGCAAAGTTACCTTAGTGGGAAATACTACGCCTTTCCGCCAATCCTGAAAAATAAACTCATCTCAGGAAGAGAGAAATGGTTCGGAAGGATGTTAACAACTGATGGAGTTGCCGTCCAGTGAGACTAAAGTCAGACTCTAAAACAACATGACAGAAACCAGGTCTCTCATATTGCTGGAGTGATTGCCTGCAGTACAGGGCAGCAAGAGCAAGCAGAAGGAAGAGCCCCTTTCCTCCCTCAGCTCACAGGGGCAAGCAAAGCAGTGACTTTCCTGTCAGTCAGTGCTTCAAGATTTGGATGAGGCACATGCAGAGTGGGAGCAGCCCTGAGTTGCCCAGCTCCCTGCCTGCATCCAGGAAGACACTTGAGCACCGGATCCATAAACAGCCATTACACTAAGCAGTAAAGCACCTGAGCTGCCATAGAAAGTCATGCCGAGTATGCCTTGAATCCTGTACCTGCCCTGAAATTAACTTGTCAGGTGTCTTAAAAACTTCGGAAGTGGAAGCACCCAGCGTGACTCTAGAGAACAGTGGTCAAGACGCTCATCTGGAAAACATGGTCATGAATCACTTGCACATAAGTCGAAGCTGAAGAGAGGTTTTCCACCTCCTAGGTGAATGCTATCGCTCCTGATAAGAAAGTAAAGGTCCTCCCTTTGCCTGCTACTGAGTCAGAGCCACTTGGCACACTCCGAGGCTCCCCAGGTGACTGGATCTCTGCAAGTGACAGGGGAAAGAACATTTCATTTGTAGAGTGTCACAAGGTCAACATGCAGCAGCTTTTGAGCTAGTCAGAGTGAAGCCTTGGGCAACCTAGCTAGAGATCTTTATATAGCAGAGCTTGACCAAGCTTCCTAGCAGCCCAGTGATTAAGTAAAGATCTTCAGTAAAGATCTAAGTAAAGATCTTCAGTACCCCAAATTTGGACTTCAGAGCTTAAAGAAGAACCAGCAGACTCTAAGTATGAACATCCCTTTGTAACTCTACAACTACTTTAGATCCGAATCCCATTAAGTGCAAGACATTAAAAATACTGCCGATAGCTGTCATCTTGGTCTTCTATTCCTAAGGCTAAGGGGTGTGGAAAATGACTTTGAACGTCTTACTGCTGCAATCTTTTACATTTAACTTTGACTCTAACTTGCTGTATTAGCTGTAAACAAACCATCTGTGAAGTCTACATCTCACATCTACATTTACTTATTAAGATCAAATAAAAGGAAGACTTTTGAGGTTTCACCCTCTCTCCCCCTCCTCCCCACCATGTCCACTGTCAGGGCTTCTGTTTCATGTACTGAATTACTAATCCACATGGTAGCCCTACACTGAGAACCCCTAGCTCTATTTTAGAAGCCAGTCAAAGTTACAAGACCACATTACAAAAGCCTGACAGTGTCGCAATGTTTTTTCTATGGCGTTCACATCTTAAGGCATTTATCAGCCACATGCTAATGAACCATCTGGAAGAAACTGCAACTCCAGGACCTGTCATTCTGAAACTACCAGAACACCGTCCTGGTGCCTCCTGAGCACTTACTGCCTCTATCTTCTCTTTTGGGCTCCCTGCTGACCCCATGACTGTAATGCAGAAAACCAACCTCAGGGCAAGACAATCACCTACTTAAAGCCACTTTCTCACAGGCAGGTGCCTGCCTGACAGTAAATGATACAAACCTCACCACTGCAACAGGATCCCGGTCAATGAGAATCCTTTTTTTAATGTAAAAGAAGAGTTTCAAACAACAACCCGGACAGCCTTGTTTTCCCAGGATTTTCCCTTTCCAATGCAGGGGTACAGCTTCTGGAGATTAAGTTTTTACAGGTTGTCTGTGGTTTTCACAGACATCACTTATTTATATTTTTTAAACAGGCAGTAGGTCTCACTGAGACTCACCGAATACCATAATATCAACAGCTCCTGGCAGATGTTCCATTAGTAGCAGTTCCCAGGCAAAGAAGAATAGCAGAGAGAAAGTTTGGGGTTGCTTTTTGGGGCGTGAGGAGAAGCAAGGTTTCCAAACAGGCATATGGAACAGGGAGAACATAAAAATCAAAGGCCATAAATAACTCTAATTTAATCTCCATATGCAGTAGAATAGGCAAGGAAGGGAAGGAAGAAGAGGAAATAAGACCACGCAAGATAGAGATAGAACAAAAGGCATAGATTAAGCAAGTCACAAAAAAGCCTGTTTCTTGTGGGTGCTTATGTTAGCAAAGCTAATATAGTGGGGGCGGGGCGGGGGGCAGTGTTGCCAGTTCTGTAAGAGAACAAACCCATCACCTTAACAAGCCCTAGATCAGAAAAACATAGTCCATTCCTTTCTGTCATCACTGGCACATCTTTACAAATACCCATGAAGGATGTTCTTTATGTCATCCCTGTACTCCCACAGCATATGCTTGATCATCTCTTCCCATCAACTGTTTCCATCCCCATCTTCATGCTAATTATCCTACCTTAACTCTTACGACACGGACAAAAATCTTGAAGTAACCTAGAATGGATGCTTGTACTTACTGGCTTTATATTCCCAGTGGTTGGGAAAGAAGAGGGAGGACAGTTAGTCATGAACTTAACTTTCAGACCTCTCTATGCATGTCTGGGGTCAGTTACTGAATTTAAATGACCTTCTAAACTCCACATCAATGCAAGAACAGCAATGTTGTATATCCATATGTGACAGAAGCTCTGAGGGAGAAAAGGTAAAAAGGTAATGAGTGTTCCTTTCTAAGACTTAATACTAAGGAAGAGCTCAGTTTGAAAACGCACTCTGGAAAAAAACCTCCCAGTTTAGACTTACCCCAAAAAATAAGAAAACCTAACGAGCACTGGAGTAACGAACGCTTGCTCTTGACAGCAAATTTTTCCTCAACTGCCTTTAAGAGTGCTCTGCAAATCGGTACTGTAGTCAGTGACCTTCCACATCTTTGAAAAGCCTTTTTGCTCTTAAGATTCAAAAAGTGACTTGCTTTTTGGGGAGGTTGGGATTGTTTTGTTTACTTGATTAGCAAAAGAAGACACCTCATTGTCAGCTGGCTCACTCAAAAATCACTTGCCTCAAGATGTCTGTATGGAGTTCTTAACCTCATTTAACTCCTTTAAAATAAGGAAATAAGGAAGAAAATTGAGAGTATTTTTCAGTGTCTGACACTGAAAAGGAATCTGGATACAATTTCTTTTGGCAGTTCTGACAAGATCTGTTATGAAGTAAAAGCAACTGGCAGACCAATCATGCTTCCATATATTCTTTTCTTCAAAAATCTTTACATTAAACTGAGCACGGGGAGACCCTGATCTCCAGTCCAGGACACCAAGACGGCTGCACACCTACTGCTGCAGACACGCAACAGCACAGCTCTTCACCTATCTGTACGAGTTTCTCCCATGCCAGGCAAGGCCACATCAGAAACATAAGCACAACATGAGTGTAAAGGGCCAGAAAGAAAGGACCAGAGGCATCACACAACTGAAAGGGGTAATGAAGTCTTGTTGAGTTAGTGGCTATGAAAAGCTTTAAGTTCTTCAAAAAGCTGCATACATATGACTGAAATATAAATTTATATGTAAGATTTGCAGAGAGAAAGCTATGAGAAAAGTGTATATACTTGGTAATTAGCAGAGAAAATCAACAGCAAAAATATTTTTAAAATGAAAGAAAAGTCCTTATAACAAGGGAGTAAACTGCATAAAGGACATTTCCAACTGCATTTACAGGAATCGTACAAAACATCAATACGAGTAGACAAACTGGTTTTCCAAATTATGCAGAGCAACATGCAGTATATTGAGTAAGGTAACACCCACACGATTACCAAATGGAAAAGGGGAGTTAAAATGTATTTAAGGCTGTCATCATCAACTCCTTTCATTAACTTTGTTTGTATCATGGAATGGAAAACACCTGACCATTCACCATTTCAGATGCATGTGTGTATTACAGCCACTGAATTTCTAACCCGGGAAGCAGGGGGAGAGAGAACTAAAATAAAAATTTGTTCAAATTTTAACAAAGCTTCAGCATCCCATTCCATATGATGGTCAGGTACACAAGAAAGCTTTTATTTAAGCTACACCAAGCTACATCAAGCACTATATAGGAGTGTCTTGAGAAATAGTTTAACTGCTGGGAACTACTAAACAGTATTTAAAAAAAAAAAAAAAAAAGTGAAGCTAGAATACTTGTCACAGAAACATTCATCAGCACCTTAGTTCAGTGCTCTTATCACTAACATACCTTTAGATGTTGTAGTTACTTTTTGGAGAAGGAAGAAGGATAGACTGAGCACACACAGAGTCAAGGGCAAACATCCGGAGTGTGGGATCACCTGTGTTTTAAGCTTTTGGCTGTTCCATGAAACCTTTTTTCCTTTCCCATGACAAAACACAGCAGCAGAATCATAGCAGCAATTTTCTAGGCAAAACATGTCAAAGTGAGCAGAACAGCTATGAAGATTCTGCACAGTTACCAAGTTGGTACATGTGCTTAAAACCACAAAGCACGCCTTTATATAAAGTTATATAACAAATAAACGCCAATCAAAAAAGTTTTCAAAACAAAATTATCAACAGTAACCCAAGCTCTATTTTCCTCTTATATTTCTGCTTGACTCAATAATTCATTTTACCTGGAGATATGGTAAGTAATAAATGAACATAATGAAACACCACGTCCCTCCAGAATAAGTGGACCTGGGGCAGGGATGATGAAAAAGGGACTAAGAAAGTATACGAGTCTTTCCCACCCCAAAGAAACCTTCAGAGTGATGCAGTTGGGTTTCCAATAACCTAAATGACCTTCATGAAGATAAGCTGCTTGTTGAAAGTAGATGAAAATACCTGAAAAGTACTATCCAGCAATACTATAGTTTGATGCAAGGGCTGGGAGGAGGAAAATAAAAGCAGTAACAACAAAGCAGACAAAGAACAGGAGCCAAAGACCATACTGACAACCCTTCACCAGGAAAAATGTAACTAAAACTGTTCCCATGGTCAGAAACAGTTGCATTGTTGGTTTTTATTTATGTTTAGGGGGGAAAAGAGAAAGAAAAAGGAGATGGAGACAATTGTACAGTCTCAAACTCATCATGGAAATGGGGCACATGCCACACTAGACTTGCTAACTATAGAAAGGGAAGGGCAGGAAATCCTTGAACAACCCTCTTCCCTTTTTAACTTAAACTTGTGGAAGGCTTACAGATATCTACATAAATCCTGTCTTTCAGATTTTTTAGATGGTAGAGATTTTTTTTAAAAAAAAATTAAATCTCCAAAGTTCTTCTATATTTATGTTATCAACTAAAAAGGAATGCGGGGTTTTAAAATCAAAATGCTTTATTATGAAACCATTTTCCTGCATAACAAATAAAAAGCATCTGTCAACTATTTGTAGAAGAATTGAAGGAAGTCATTTATAAAAATACCCCCCCACACACACCCTCAAGCTAAAGTTATATCTCTTTTTAAGCACTGCATAACTATGAAGTAAAGGAAGTGTTAGGTATTCTTTCAATTGCTATAACTGGGAAAAGTCAGCAACAGTCTGGCTTTCTCAAGGTTATTTGAGTATTAGTGTGGGAGGGGAAAAAAAAAAGTCAGACACCATTTAACTGATAGGTGGATTGGCAAGCTAAAAGCAATTTAAGAAAGAAAGGAGGTGCAGGCTAAACACATCAGCAAAACAGCCCCTTGGTTAATTATTTCTCAAATGAGGGGGCACCTTCTGAAGATGAAGAACACATTTTGTAAAGAGGCAACAGCTGTAAAGTTATTAATAAGCTAGATTCAGCAGAGGGGGAGGTCAGGGGATAGGGCACATGCTTGGAGTGGGATTCATGCATTCTTCGGGCATGTCAGTCATGCTGTGACACTTAGCACAGCTGGAGCACAGCACTGGCACTGCCTCTGTGCATCACCCCAACAAGCCGCTGAGCTAAAGGGCACTGGGGAAATCTGCATGCTGACCTTGCACGCCGATCTAGAAGCTACCGTGTTTCAAAGAAATGGGCCAACAACGCTGGGGATAACATTTAAGTTTTGACCATGCAGAATCAGAAGCAATACGGAACAGAAGTTCTTGAATGAAGATTATTGAGCCATGACAGCTTACAACACAGCAAAAATGGAAGGAGGCAGTCTAAAAGAAAGAGACAAACATCGAGTTCTCCAAACACCTCATGGTAGCAGTAAGGGACCCAGAAGTCCACCACAGTCCAGAGCATCCACCACGACCCAGAGCATCTTACGCAAACTGTATAAAAATGAAGCCAGGGTGACCAAAGCTTCACAACACTCGGCTGTTCTGGCAGGCAGAGCACACCTGTAAAATTCCTGCCTTCCATCCTGCAGCTAAAAAATGGATGAATATAAATGAAAAATGCCAAGAGAAGACCGAACCCAAGTTTGATTTATCATTAAAAAAATATTTTGGAACCTATTTTGATATGTACCCTTTTAAATATACTGATGAAGACACGATATATTTTACAGAACACAAGTTTTTAAAGTGAGTTGAGGTGAGTGGGTAGAACTATGATCCAGATTCAAATAATGAAAGGCTATATCTTTTAAACAAAAAGTTTTTGTTTTTTTGTACAATACTTGAGTTACAGCAAAAGCTTCACCCCATCAACCTAGTCTTTTAAGCACTGCTTGAGAAACAAAATAATTATTCAGTTCTGTGGCTTTATGAAGCACACATCATTACAGCAGGATAAAAAGGTAAGTGGCATTTCTGGTTGAGTATATCCCTATCTATCTACCATTATCCATTGAAGTGTCTCTGGAAAGACTAAATAACCAAGACATTCCTATCTCATGTGTTTTTCATTATACATTCTAGATAATGAAGTACAGATAATAAGAGGTCAAAACTGAGGAGAACAAGCAGAAGTAATACATACATGGTAGCTTTCCTTGATTCCCTAGTCAAGGCCTAAAACAAGAGTTACCTTTGTAAAGCACAAGGGATTGCATAGCAAAACTTCAGATGTACCAAGAAACCTAACTACAGAAACATAACTCCTTCTTTCTTTGACCAACAAAGCTTGAATAGGGTCACCATCAGATAGCACTGCAGTGGTTTCAGGGCCTCACCTCTACTTTTGTTACGAGCAGGAACCTCTTGCATGGTTAGACAAAGTCATCCAAACCTCTTGACTGCAAGAGGGTTCAGAAGCCAGCAGTCACTTCTGATGACTTTGGAGGCTCCTAAGATCACGTCACCAGCCTTGGTTTTGGTATGGCTTGCACCTTTATCGTTATTTCTCTGTTTCAGGGTGTACAACAGCCTATAATGACTTAAATGAAAATGGTGGAAATTTAATTGTGGAAAACAATACCCAGTCATTTCTGTATGATTCCACTAGAGTAGAACTGGAGCTTCTAAGCTGCACTGAATCTTTCATGATCATATTTGGGAAATCGAATGTGTTTTTTATGCCTAGCAAGACAAAATAGTAATATCTAAGAAGGGATACAGAGTCTCTCATCAGTTCCACTTGTATTTCCTTACTAGAGGTTTTTGAAATTCTGCAAGGTAGAATGTCTCTAAAACAGATGCATCCTCCTGAAGGCTAATGAAAGTAAAATAAAATAAATAATAAAAAGGCAGCTTGGGGCAGTTCTGCAAGCAGTGTTTTATTTACTCCTCAACCTCCCAACATTGTCTCAAGATGCAACCTTTAAATCAGAACAGCAGTCTTCAGAGTTGCTTTTCCCCAGAGCTGTTTCTCAACATTACTCTGGTGGACTTTCGAGAATTTGAGTATAGTCTTACATGCAGAGATAATACACAGGTGTCATTATGCAGATTACTCCCCCTCACAGATGGGACAGAGATGATTTGGAACCTTTGGGAGCTATTATTACTCTTCACTGACATTTGCTAAAGCAGCATACCGAGTTGCCTGCAGCCTGATTACTTTACATAAACTTCGGAATGTTTTACTTTAAATAAAGATAATGATTTGGAAAAGTCAAACCAGATTTCTTCAAGAAATATCCACAAACTGTAAGACAACTTCATTTACTGCTTAATCAATAATTCTTCTAAGTTCCAACTGTACTTTGCCCCTCCATTTAAAAATTTCACCTACTGCAGACATGCAAAGATGGACTCCAGCGAATGCCAGGTACCAAACTGCTTCTTTTGGTCTCAGGAGATATTTATATTTTGAAAAAAAAAAAAAAAAAAAAGGAAGATTCTAGGGGACATTACCTGCATCTATTACTATTCCTTCAAAAACAAAATGGAATTAAAAATATTTTAAGAGTAGGAGACTACAGATTTTGTACTTTCAGCTGAAATCCTTAATGCCAAGGGATCCAAAATCTGTACCCAAGTAGAGCGTTTCATCTATGGACGTGAGCGAGGCTTCTATAAAGCCAAATGTTGCTACCTGTGAACACACAGAAACGACCTTCTCTGCAATTACTCCACAGAGCCTGAAGAGAGAGGGAAGAAAAAACAAAACAATAACAACAACAACAACAACACTAACAATTTTTAAAACACTTTTTCCATAAGCCTTTCCAAGAAGGAAAGTAGCTGTTTATCCTGAACAGTCTCTTACAAGTTTTTTCTTTTTTAATAGAAGCTTAAAATACATGAATTGTTGTTACACTATTATATGGGTTACAGACATCCAAGCTGAATATAAAGAATTGAGTTTTGTCACAGAAGGGCTATTTACAGATTGAATGTATGACAGTTTTCCGGTCAACCATCAGAAAAATAAATACCTACAGTGTGCTTATTCCTTCCTTGGAAAAATCCATGACTTACACTTACATTTCCAAGCATTAAACACTAAATTCCTGTCCACTGATTGGTAATATTAAACAAGTAACTTGGAAATTCCACTACAGAATCTTTGAGTAACTGGCTAGACACATTTAGTAAACTCTTAATATAGCAAATATAAGCCAATATTCCAATATTTAAAATCTTTCTTCAACACTATTTCTACCCTGGCAAAGAACTCAAGCAATCCATAGTAAATATATCTGCAATTTTCTCTCATTCAAGTGTCTTGGAAGCAAATAAGTGCTTTTCATTGAGCATATTTACTGGCAATCACTTTTCTAATCATACTAAAAATATCATTTCACTCAGAATAATGATTTCTAGGTACTAAAAGCTGGCATCCAGAAGTTTGCAAATTCACAGCAATTGAGTAGAAAAGCATCCACTTTTTTCCCACTTAAGGAGAAAGGTATCTTAAGATCTTTGAATGCTGGGAATACTTCAGAAGAGAAAAACAACTTTTGCTAAATTTGTCTGGTATTGAAAAAAATGTTTAATTAATAAAAGACAAAGCCAGAAGAAGTAAATGAGACTTGCATAGCATTCTGTCAGTCCATATGGTCAGATTATACAAACAGAAGCTATTCAAATGCTGTAACACCCATGCAACACCAGCATCTTAAATTAATCATCAATAAACCTCTTAAGAGAATAAGAGAACCTTCTGTAGAGAATACTCCAAGCCAGCCCTGTGCTTTGTTCAGTAAGAGACATTTTGGAAGGCATTAACATCAACTGAGCAACCTTGGTGCTCACTTGTCACCAATTTCACAGCCTGAAAGCCTGATCTGCACTAGAACCATGTCCAGACCTGCAAGCTTGGAACCATCTAGGCTAAAGCGGCTGGTGTCTTTGGGGGAAAAGTACACAGGAACCCAGTGAATATTAACATTTATGGCTGCTGTGCCCTCAGGAAGAAGGTACGAAAGCCCAAAAAGCGCTCTCTCTCACCTGGAAAGCACAAAAATGTCATTACCAAACAGCATCTTAAAAGGCTACAAATTTCTGGGGGGCACTGTCTATTCACTTGGAGGGAGGATTACCAAGAGCCTATAACCCTGCATTCATGCTCCATTTAGGAATAATCTCCTCAGGACATCACTTAATCCTTTAAAGAATTATCTAGGGAGAAAAAAAAAAAAGGCACTGTTTATTGTTCTGTACTTTCAAAGAGTTCCTTCATGCCAAGGCAAATCCACAGAAAAAAAAAAAAACCTCTTAAAGCACTAGGGACAGTTTTCTCAAAGTCATCAGAAAGCAGGCAAAAAAAAGGGTGGGGGGGGCTGAAAAGGGTTGCCTTGAGATTCTTAGCAAGTTTCAATGAAAAAACACAGGGAAAAGGCTTAAAGGACAACGTTTGTGACAAAAACTTGTGTGAAAATATCAGAGCAGTAAGGCCAAGAAAGAGGCATGTGAAACTCCACTACCAGCTATTCTACTCGGTAGGGCAGTCAGTCAGCTTCCAGGAGCCCCCAGGCAAGCCAGAGCAAGCAGCAGCACGGCTGCATGGCACACAACAGGCAGATGCAGTACCTTGTAGGAACAGGTGGCAAGGGACAAATGCAGAGTAAAGCAGGTATATGTTATTTAATCCACAGACCCCAATGAAATAATAATTAAAAATGCCTAAGTGACTTAAGAAACAAGAGTTCAATCTTATTTTCCTAGGTTTTACAGCACTTTAACCAAGTAGACAGAAAAATGAGCAGGAGAAAGAATTCAAATTCAGGGTGAGTGCAGCAAGATGTTCAAGCTTGGTTCAGCGTACAGAGAAGGGGAGAAGACAAGACTTCATTTTCAGTTATTTTAAGTCAATGTTCAATTGAAGGATATCTTGGATTGCTTGGAATTAACTGTTTGTAAAAGGCTTTTGCTGTCACAAGATTTTGTAGCATGTGTTCAGCTAATAACAAGGCATTTCTCTCCTTTCCAAAGGAATTCAGAGTTAAGGTTGCCCAAGCCCCATTCCTCTACACTGCCATCTTTGAGAAACAGCACAGTACAAGAAAAATCAGCAAGACACACTTGCTGGAGGTTTTCCAAGAGAAAGAACACATACCTTTTTTCCAAAGTATAATACCATATTTATTCCCAAGTAAAAATTTTTACAGAACTGTGAGAGTCAAGAAGCAGCACCTCTAATTGCTTGCTACTCTAACTATAGCCTTTCTTATTTATGCTGTATGATCTGTAAAAAATCATGGAAAGTCGCACTATTTCCTGATACCAGAAGGCAAAAGGTGGTCACTCAAACATTTGACTAATTTATTCCACTGGGTTTTCCACAAGTGATTCACGGCTGTACTCTATTTTCCTGGAAAACATTTCACAAAGTCTGCACAGTATGTAAAGCAGTGCTCATCCCTTGTCTGGTTTCTGATTGCGACTCTTCAAGACTATCTCTCTGAAGGCAAAAAGCATTTAAATGAGCTTATTCCATCAGATACGCTTAAGTTGACTCAAGTGCTCCCATAACCAGAATAATTACCATGGCAAACATGTACAAACTCGCTTAGAAAAAACAAGTTATTACTTAGACATGCAACTAGATCTAGTCCACCCTTAATAGATTGTTTTCTTTTCCCCTCTCTTGTCCATCTTAGTCCCAATGTCACAGTTTACTTTAGGGCATAATTCTGCTCCCATTTAAATAAATATTGCCCCTTTCCTAAGTGACAGCAGGATCAAGTCCTTATCTGTAAACTCCTCTTAACAGGAATTTAGTACTGCTTGGATGCCAATGCTAAAATCATAGGAAAACGTGAGACCAACATAAAATAGGAATTTACTTGTTTAATACAACTGGAAGTAGGACTATGTGGGCAGACTATGTCAACTCCTTTATATGGCAACCTCAAAAACCAGAGGCTGTTAAGTTCCCAGGAAAGTACAAACAGTCTCTACAAAAGAAGCCTGAAAGAGCTGAACTGTCAGCAGACAAGGCTCTCCCCAGTAACCCAGCAAGGGCTGTTTTGTTTAAACAGCAGGACACAGTATTTTCCAGCAGCAATTATCAGACAAGCCCATAGATTTGAATCCCAAATCTCTAGATTTAGATGAAAATGATGTTCCACATGGCAAGAAAGAAGAGCTTACTTGAGAAGAAATCACCAAACTACCTCTGCCAAACCTTCCAGGATGGAAGTCTG